AGGTCCATCCCAGAACCGTGTTTGTTTTCAGAGAAACAACTTAGATGCCTTACTTGGAATTAATGTCCATGGCTCTAAATGTCCTGGAAAAACTGGAATACTAGTCAGGTTTGTAGTTGCTAAGGAATCGAGCAGGCAGGCAGGCTCAGAGCTGGACACCCTCCCGGCTGGGGCGCTGGCAGGTGGGGGGCACCTCCCTCTCCACAGCCCCCTTCCTTCTTCACATGAAGGCACCATCTCCTTTCTCCTCACCCCCTGCTCTAAGCCCCGCTCTGAGAATGCCAAGCCATGCCCAGCAGTATCCAGTCATTCAGCACATGGCACCCCCCTCCCACGCCCTGGGGTGGGCCAGCACCCCATCTGCACCTCACGAGCTCACAGCTGGCCACAGTGGGGTGGGTGCTCGGGAAACACATGACCAGAGTTGGGCGATCGGGTCTGTGCCCAGCATGGGTGTGGGTCCCAGAGGTCTCGTGTGAGCGTCTCTCCAGCACAGGCTCACATTCACTGGGACACGCGGAGACTGTGCCAGCGCTGGCCTGGGCTCCGCGAGAGCTGGGCGAACTGGGAGGCTGGTGACACCTCGCCACCATGTCCTGCACTTGTGCTAGAGAAACTCTGGGATCCCTCCCCAGAGTTCCCCTCTCCTGGCTTGCACTAACTTAAGTTGTTTTCTATTCTTGCACCCCAAAAAGCCCCCAAACCCCTTGGATGTGGGAGCACACTCCTCCGGGGGATGCTGCTTCCCAGTCTCGTCTGCCACAGCCTCGGCCTGCAGTCCTGGCCGGGGACCCGCTGCCTGGGGCTCCCAGACTCGGCTGCCCCGCTCCGTGTGGGTCCCTGGCAAACGCTCTGCGGCCTCCCCACCGGGGATCCCAGGGGGTGACGCTGTCTGTCTTCAGGGACCACCTGCTTTTTCTCAGAGGTGCAGGCTGTGTCGTTGGGAGCTCAGTGTAGGAGTATTTAGGCTTGGCACTTGCTGGGCTGAGTCCTGGCTCCTTCACTTCTCAGGCTGTGGCTTGGGCACATTTGGTCATCTGTTTGAGCCTCACTGCCCACATACGTAATCGGGAAATGGTGCTGTTGTTTTTGAGGACCTGCCCTTATCTGAGGAGAGGGTCTGCATGGGTGAGCCATTGAGAGGAGGCCATTCGAGGCCTTATCAACATGCTCCTACTGAGGGGACACGTGGGCAGAGTGTGAGGGGTGGGTCACCCAGCCAGCCCCAAGCACTGCGCATCCCCACATGTGTCCCAGGAGGCATTTACAATCAAGCAAGACCAGTGCGGCCAGCTGACCCCCGCGTGCAGCCTCACCGCGAAGTCAGCCGGCCCTGGTTTCTGTTTGCTCTGGTGGGGCCCTGACCATCAGCCTTTCTGAAGCCTCAGCACCACAGGACAGTCCCTGTGAGGTAGGGGGCGAAGGCTGCCCAGGTGAGGCGGCCCCGGAGAGGGCAGCCAGCAGGCAGGACCCTGCCTGTGAGATGCCCCGGGCAGGAGGCCCTCCAGCTGCCTGTGTCTGAGCAGCCACACAGCCTCTTGGGTCAGATGCTTCTCGGCCGGGCCTCCTAGCTCAGCGTGGCCATGGGCTCGGAGGTCCTGGTTGGAGTCCTGCTAAGCGCGCTTCCCATGGGCTCGCTCTGCACCCAGGTAGACGCCTGCTCTGGTGGGACCACTGATAGCTTTGGCTGGAGTGGCCCCACTGCTTCTGTGGGTTTTTCTTCCCAAATTTTCACGTGAGATGCGCGGGCTGGAGTGACAAGTGAAGGACCAGTGTGCGCAGAGGCTTTCTGTGCTGCCCTTCCAGTTCCAGCCAGCCCCAAGGACTGCGTCCCCACATGGGTCCCAGCCTCCCTGTCCCTTCAGCTCCTCCCAGGGCAGGGGTCGGGCTGTGGGCAGATTAACCATGCCTGCACAAATGCCTCCACTCCTGGCGCCCAGGCCATGGCCGGCATTCCCATGGAGACGGGTCCACACAGTGGGCTTCCCAGGGACCCAGGGCCAGGCCACACTCTCCTTGAGGGGCACCCCAAGCAAAGCACAGCCCCTCCCTCCACGAGGCTGCCCTCCCTCCCCGAGGCGGTCCTCCCTCCCCAAGGTGGCCCTCCCTCCCCGAGACGGCTCTCCCTCCCTAGGGTGGCCTTCGCCGGCACAGACTTTGGGGAGGTGGCTGTCCTAATGTCCTGTGGGCAATCGCAGTTGTAAGAGCAGCACCTCACCAGCTCTCTGTCCTTGCCACAGATGTTCGGCATACATAGGACACAATCGCAAAACAATGAAGTGTAGGTGTTCTCTGCACACATGATGGGGGTGCCGCTGACCACATCTGGGGAGCCTGCACCTCCGGGTGGCATCCAGCAGCCATTCCAGATAGACCCGCCTTCCAATGCCCAGTGCCCAGAGAGGACCCACTGGGCCTTGGAAGCCTGGAGGGTGTGTCCAGGCACCAGGCCGGAGGCGGGACCTGTCCACGGTGCTGAAGAGGCTGCCCCTCCTCCACGTGGTCCGTGCACCAGGACAGGGACCCTGTTCCCTGGGAAACCGGGAAGTCAGGTGGGGCTGTTTGTGATTGGCCAAGAAGGGCTTCCCCGGCCAGCAGTGTGAGCCTGTAACTCCAACGTTAAGGTGGGAGAGGAAAACAAGGAGCCATAGGTACATGCTGGCAGAGATCCGCCTCTGGCACCCTGGCACCTATCACCCGCTGGTCCCGTGGGCTCTCCAGAGGAGCCCTGAGGGTCGCTGTTTAAATGAGGAGAAAATTAGTTATATATCAACTCAATTTTCAAAGATATTAATCCAGGGAGAACCCAATTTCACGTGAAGCGGCGGCTCCATTAGCAATTGCCAGGACTCCAAAGGCACAGAAATGTGTCTCATAAGTGAGAGATGTGTGAAATTGTGGTGACATCACGTTGTGAGGAACGTTTCCTCCAGTCCCACTTCCTTCTTGGTTTCCATGACGTCAGCAGTTTGGCATAACAGGAACATACTGCGTGCTGGGCGCACAGCGGGGGCAGGGACACGGTCTCCGAAGGTCCAGTGTCTCCTGCTCTCTCCCTTCTCCCCCCTGCTGGACCTCCCTCTCAGGACAGCGGGTCCTGCCTCCCCAGGGCCCTGCTCTGCTGGAGGCGCCTGGACGTTGGCCTCCATGGGGGAGGGGAAACTGAGGCAGAGTGGTCACCTGCAGCCTGGGCCCCATGGATGGTTGGCCTGCCCGAGGGAGGGCATTTTGGGGGGGCCAGGGAAGTGCGGTGCAATCTGGGTTTGTGGATTGTGCTCCCTGAATGCCCACCACGGGCCCTGGGGCTCCAGAGGCCGCCTTCCTGAGCTCCCAGGGCAGCCTGGCCTCTGAACTCCCCACATTTGCTCTTATTTACTTACAGAAAGATGGCTTTGTTCTAATCACAAACGGAAGTCACACATCTCGCCGTTTCCCGTGTCCACGCAGTGCGGGCACTTCCCACCTTCCCGAAGCATTTCTGAGACCGGGTTGGATAGTCAGTCCACCTTGTGTCCGTGTCGCAGTGTGCTTACAACTAACCCTTCTGGAACCTTCCGGAGTTAACCACGGAGCGCCCCCCCCAGGAGCCTTCAGGCGGGCCCTCTGGGGAAGTCAGTGGTGGTTCAGATTCAGTGGCACTGCTGTCCCTCCACACAGACTGGGCTCTCACTCTGCCTGGTCTCCTGCCCAAAGGCTGGGACAGAGGCTCCACCTCCAATGGGCCAGTGGGAGAAGGTCCCTGAGAGGCTCTCACTGCCCTTGATGTCACACACCCCACCCCACAGAGAGGCGGGCAGACAGAGCAGGGCGGGGATGGCACTGCCCAGTCCAAGTGAGAGGGGGCGATGGGCTGAAATGAGCTGCGTCATTCCCAGGTGATGCTGCTCCTCTGCTTCGTGGGCTGCCTGTGGCGTTGGCGGGGGGCCCTCAGGACAGAGGACAGGGACCCCGCTCAGCAAAGCCTCTTCCCATCCATTTGAAGGGAAAGCTCAGTGCTGCCAGCTGTGCACCCAGCGCCTGGCACCTGCGTGGCTGAGCGTGATGCCTGCCAGTCCTGCCCGGGGAACAGCGGCCACTGGTCAGAGAAGACACGTGGTTGGGCAGAGCATGACCCCGAACGCTCTAGGGCAGAAGGCTTTGGTAGAAGGGTGCTTGTTTCTGGAAGGTTCTGTTTCTCGGGACCACATGCTGAAGGAGACGTTTCCGGGACGCACTGGGAGGAGTGGCTGTCACCAGGATGGGGCCACAGCCCGGGGGTTGCTCCTGCAAGTGGCTCAGGGTGAGTTTGTGGTAAAAGCCAAGGAGACAGCGAGGAACCGAGGGCAGGAGGATGCCGCTTCCCGGGAAGAGATGGAGCCAGGAGGGGTTTCTCAGGAGCCGGGGCTCTCCCGCCTTCGTTTCTCCCAGTGGGTGGGCCCAGCATGGCCCCCTCGAAGCCCCTGGTTCAGCCATTGGCAGGGATGCCCGGCTTTCTCTCCGGCTCAAGTACACGTGTGTCCATCTAAGAATGGAAGGCCCACGTGACCGCTACAAATGGGATTGCGATCAGTAAGAACAGCTCTTCCAGAGGCACGGGTTCAGGCAGGAGCCCAGCAGTGTCCCGGCAGGAGACGGGCGATGGCGGCCGGGAGAAAGGGAGGGGCCGTTCCGTTCACAGCAGGAAGGCGTAGCTGCTGGTGCAGCCCCGGTGACACGGTGACACTGATCTAAACAATGCTGTCATTTCCCTCTGCGGTCACACGGTGTGCTCCTTGTTACCTTTGCAGACAGCTGTTTGGGACACAATGTTGCTCCAGGTCAGCCCAGAGGTCACTTGTCCATTTCAATACCCAAAGGGTGGAGGTGGGACCCATAGGGCAGTTCCTCTGGGAAGGCAGGGGCCGGTACAACTCCATTTGAAAGGGGCTGTGTTTACGTGACATGGCATGCTCTGCAGAGGGGCACGCGGATGGGCACAGCCTGGCACAGACCTGACTCCCCGCTTTTCCTTGTCCCTTTAGACCTTCACGCTGCAAAGGTCTGGCCGCCGATGGGTGGGAATACCTTTTGGCATTGGCCTTGGCCCACCCTCGGGAGGCCCTAGCTCTCCTCCTGCAGCGCGGAGCCTGCAGCCTGTGGGCAGGCCGGCCCTGCAGCCCATAGCTGACCCACGTGAGTCAGCAGCGACAGCTCAGTGAGTTCCGGCCGCGGCGCAGAGACACTGCCCCTCCCACCTGTGCCCCCGCCGTCATGGCCGACTTGAACCTGCGGCGGGTGCGGACACAGGCTCCACCGAAGGGATCACTCTGCGTTTCAACAATGGTGCTCTCCGGAGGCGCAGCTGCACACTGTTCCTGTAGACACACCTCCCGCCACCCCCAGAGCTGCCCTCTGAGAGACCCGTTACCCCAGGAGTGACTGATCTTTACTGCGGTGCGCACAGCTGTGAGAAGCTGTGGGTGCCGATGCAGAGGGAAGCGCACAGTGTGAGTCTTTCCTCCCACCTGCTATTGCTCCCCCAAAACTTTTTCTTTTTAAATATATTTTATTGTTTTTTTTACAGAGAGAAAGGGAGAGGGAGAGAGAGCTAGAAACATCAATGAGAGAGAAACATCGATCAGGTAATTCACTCTCTGGAACAGGAAACTCGGTGCCACCTGAGGGCAGCCAACAGGGAAACTCCCACCGGGACAGTGTCTGAGTCCCCGTGGCTCAGGGAGGATGTTATCAGGGCGGAGGGATGGCCCGATGCATGCCTCACGCCCCTCCAGAGGCAGCTGGGACCAGGGGGAGGTGCCTGTGGTCCTGGCGGGTCCAGGTGGGTTTGGATGGAACGCAAGATGGGGACCAGCCAGCCCCCCTCCAGAGTGAGCACCATTCTGGGGCAGAAATGGGCTCTCCAGCCCGAAACTGGAGGAGGATGCAGACAGGATGAAGCAGAGAAGGGGAAACAGACAGAGCCTCCTTACTGAGCTTGCTCAGGAGGCCTTCCCACCACAGCTCCCCAGCCACTCCCTCCGGCTCCCTATGTCACAGTCACCTCACTGAGAGTTAGGCTTCAGCCTAAGTGCTCACAGTGGCCGTGGGTGAGAGCCCCCACGTGGAGTAATAATGCCCATGCTGACTCCGCGTTCAGTCTACAAAGCACTGCACATCCCAGGCCGCACGAGTTCCCATAATCAGAGAAGAAACCGCCTCACAGGTGAGAGGGCTCTGCTCCCAGGAGCCTTCAGCACCGCCAAGCCATGGTTCCCACCACAGCCACGGGCCCCGCCACAGCCACAGCTCCCGCCACAGCCACAGCTCCTGCCACAGCCACGGCTCCCGCCACAGCCACGGCTCCCGCCACAGCCACAGGTCTCATCACAGCCACGGCTCCCGCCACAGCCACAGCTCCCGCCACAGCCACAGCTCCCGCCACAGCCACGGCTCCTGCCACAGCCACGGGCCCCGCCACAGCCACGGGCCCTGCCACAGCCACAGCCACAGCCACAGCTGCCGCCACAGCCACGGCTCCCGCCACAGCCACGGGCCCTGCCACAGCCACGGGCCCCACCACAGCCACGGCTCCCGCCACAGCCACAGCTCCCGCCACAGCCACGGGCCCCACCACAGCCACGGCTCCCGCCACAGCCACAGCTCCCGCCACAGCCACGGCTCCCGCCACAGCCACAGCTCCCGCCACAGCCACGGGCCCCACCACAGCCACGGCTCCCGCCACAGCCACAGCTCCCGCCACAGCCACGGGCCCCACCACAGCCACAGCTCCCGCCACAGCCACGGCTCCCGCCACAGCCACAGCTCCCGCCACAGCCACAGCTCCCGCCACAGCCACGGGCCCTGCCACAGCCACAGCTCCCGCCACAGCCACGGGCCCTGCCACAGCCACAGCTCCCGCCACAGCCACGGGCCCCACCACAGCCACGGGCCCCGCCACAGCCACAGCTCCCGCCACAGCCACAGCTCCCGCCACAGCCACGGCTCCCGCCACAGCCACGGGCCCTGCCACAGCCACAGCTCCCGCCACAGCCACGGGCCCCGCCACAGCCACAGCTCCCGCCACAGCCACGGCTCCCGCCACAGCCACGGGCCCCGCCACAGCCACAGGTCAGGGTGGGTCTCTGGCACCTGCGTGGATGCCCTGCGTGTGTGCCACCCGACCCGTCTCCCTCAGCATCTGTCTTCTCATGGGTCCCCGACCCTGCACAGCTCTGAGCAGCTTCCTGTTCTTGTCCTTTCTCAGACGCTGCTCTAGTGATCTGGACCCGCAAAAATGAGCCATTGGACTCTAAAGCAATGGAAACGTCCTGTTTTCATTGGTGTCACCAACTTCCTGGAAAAATACTTTCCTTTCAAAACGGCAAAAGGAGAAGAGGGGTCCGGGCCTTCCTGCCGACAGCGAGGCTGGGCCTGCTGAGCTGCCCAAGCCACCCCCACAGGACGGAATCCCTTACAACAGCAGCCTGGACACGCTGGAGCGTGGTCATCGGTGCTGCGGCCACTTCATCAGGTCACGCTTCTCCGTTTCTTTCACCCCAAGAGCCACCAGGAGAGGGAGGCGTCCGGGTGGGGTCTCTGCAGCCGCCTCAGGCCCCACCCCAGACCTGCGGGCTGCTCCCCTCTGATTAGGGTCTCTCTTAAAGGAGGACCCCTGTTCACCAAATGCTCAGGGACCTTGGGGAGGGAATGATGGCGGGGCACCACGAGGTGGGGGAGATGGGTGAGACCTGACAAGCATCAGGCCTCGCTGCGGCAGCTCCAAGTGGGGGAGGGGATTTCTGGCCTTTTTTCTCCTTTCTTTCCCTCCTATAATTCTTCCCTCCCCGCCCCTCCCCCCTTTTTTTTAAATAAAGCTTTGCTGGCTTGTTGCTTTTCTTTTCACCGGATAACAGACAGGGAACCAGACCATCACTGAGGCGGCTGCACTCACGGACTTGTTCGGTTTCCACACGTGGACCTTTGCACACCACCCGACAGCAATCACAGAGGCTGATGCGTAAAAGGTGCATCCGGAGGCTATTTTATTGTCTTCAAACATGCCTTCTGGGGAGAGAACACCAAAGCCGTCAGTAGACACCCCCGCCCCAGGTGTCAGAGGCATCCCGGGGGTCCAGAGTGGGGGTGGGGAGGAGTAGGCTTGCTGGGATGAGATCAGAGGAGACGCTGGAGGACACTCCATGTGCTGGGACTCGTGGAGGGATTAGGAGCACGTTTCACCCACACGACCAGGCCTGGCCAGAGAGAAGGCTGAGCACAGCGGGCGCGGGTGCCGGACAGGGCTGACGCTGGTGGGTGTTCTCCGCAGGGAGGGAGATTTGTACCGTGTGGGCACCTGAGGAACAGGGAAGCTCAGGTGCACGTGCAGCAATCCCACCGAGTTCCTGCCTCGTGCAGCGGGCAGGTGGGAGGCTGCCTTTGCCCTTTGTCAGCAGCAGGGAACATATTCATCGATATGTGGGGGACGTACTCATCACTGGGGCGGGGACAACGTGGGGACCACCAGGCAGTGGTTGTTATAAACAGACCAGACCATGCACAGCCGTGTGGACAGATGTAACAAATGTATAGTCTACTGAGGAGGTCAACATGCACAACCCGATACTTCTGTAAATTAGCGTACACACACACACACACACACACACACACACACATACACACACACACATTATACAAAAGCCATGAACTACACATCAAAATTACTATACCAATTCGCTCTGCTATGGAAGGTAGAAAAGGGGGAATTCATATCTATACTAATAAAAAGGTAATATGCTAATTAGACTGTGTCGACCCGCCATCTTCTGGACATCCGACTTCCTTCCGCACAAAGCCATGGTGGTGGGGGCCAAGGCAGAGGCAGTTAGGAGTGATCAGGCTGGCAGGGGAGAGCAGTTAGGGACAAGATCAGGCTGGCAGGGGGTTAGGGGCCATCAGGCCAGAAGGGGAGAGCAGTTGGTGATGTTTAGGCTGGCAGAGGAGGGCAGTTGAAGGCATTAGGCAGGCAGGCAGGTGAGTGGTTAGGAGTCAGTGGTCCTGGATTGTGAGAGGGTTTAAACCAGCAGTCAGACATCCCCTGAGGGATCCCAGATTGGAGACGGTGGAAGCCAGGCTGTGGAACACCCGCCCCGCCGACCCATGCATAAATTTCATGCACTGGGCCTCTAGTATAGGAATAAAAAGAAGTGAACATCATATTTTAATGTTTTATTAACATTTGAAGTTAAGCAAATAATTAACAAAATAAATAAAGAAGGGAGATGGGGAAGGGCAGAAGGTAATCCTGGAGTCATAGAATCTAGGCTGAGTTCGATTACCTCTTTTCTCTCTGACAGGTGAGGGTACCTTTGCCAGATGGCAGCCGATGAGGCAAGCTGGCAGTACCATTCTGTCCCACCTTTGCAGTGATCTCTTAACAAAAGGAGGATGCTATTTATTTTTCTTAGAGAAATATTTAGAATCCTGTATGTTTCACCGTTAGACTTTCAAAGTGTTTTGCTGTTTCTGAAACCAAAGTAAATCAGCAGGTCTTTCTCAGTCAGAGCCTAACGGGTGTTCAGAGCTCTTTCTTCTCTCCCAGACTTTGTGAGCGGCGTTTCAACGTGATGTTCTTTGAGAATAAGCAACGTGTTCCTTCTGCATTGTCATCGCTGCTCAGTTTACCTGCTAGTCAACACTGCAGCTTCTCTGGAAGTGTGGATATTTTCAGAGCTTCAGGGTGATAGAGACTTATTACCTCCCAAATTTGGACTCAGAATTTGCAATGCCCCATTTCTTTTTTCTGACCATTTCTAAAATTTCCTTTTTACCTTGGATTTTCACTTTTTTTACGAGGATGTACCTAGATGGATGCTGTGTGTTACTATGTTTGTGTGTTCACCCTGCTCTGGGTATAATGAGCTTCTTAGACCTAAAGTCTGTTCATTTTCCTCTAATTTGGAGCAATGTTGACTACCATTTCTTCACATGGCACCCCCCTTTGGGGTTCCAGTTGCATCTATGTGAGGCCTTTTATATTTTATATTCTCCCATAGGCACTGAGTTTCTCTCTCTCTTATTAATACTCACCTGAGGCAATTTTTTCCATTGCTTTTCAGAAAGAGTGTAGGAGAGAGAGAGTGAGAGAGGGAGAAAAAGAGGGAGAGAGAGAAATGGGAGAACACATCGACGGGTTGCCTCCTGCATGCACCCAGGGGATGAAGAGTGAACCAGAAATGTAGGTACATGCCCGTGATGGGGAATAGAACCCACGACACCTTTGGTGCATGAGCTAATGCTCTAACCACTGAGCAATTGGCCAAGGCCACGAAGTCTCTCTTTACTATTTGCCCCTCTGTGTTTTATTTTACATACTTTAATTTCTCTGCCCTAAAAATCACTAATTTTTTCCTTCCCCAGGACCCATTCTCTGTTAAGTACATTCAGTGGATTTTTTTTGTATCAGATATTATATTTTCAATTACAAAGTTACCATATTTTTTTTTTATAGTTTTCACTTTACCACTGAGATCCTTTCATCTGTATACTAGGTGTACGGGTTAATAATGCAGATTTTGTAATAAAAGAAAACACAATAATTTCAAGAGAAACATCAAAAATGCTTTATTCAAAATAATGTCCATCTCTATCTACACATTTCCCCATCTTTCAGGCAATTTGTGGATACCACCCCAATAGAACTTTTCTTGTTTTTTTTTATATATATATATATTATTAATTTTTTACAGAGAGGAAGGGAGAGAGATAGAGAGCTAGAAACGTTGTTGAGAGAGAAACATCAACCAGCTGCCTCCTACACACCCCTACTGGGGATGCGCCCGCAACCCAGGTACATGCCCTTGACTGGAATCGAACCTGGGACCCTTCAGTCCACAGACAGACCCTCTACCACTGAGCCAAACCGGTTTCAGCAGAACTTTTCTTGTTTTGAGGCAAACCATTCAGAGACCCAATTTTCCACTTCTTCATATGTTTTGAAGTGCTGCTCAGAAAGTGTGTGTGCCATTGATTGGAACAAGTGGTAATCTGAAGTGCAAGGTCTGGTGAATATGACTGGTGGGTTTAGACTTCCCAGGCAAGATCTTTTAATGTGTCTTTAACTGGTTTTGAAGTGTGTAATGGTGCATCATCATGAAGCAGAATTACTTTGCCTTGTCTTCTGGCACATTCTGACCATTTCATGCTCAAAGCGTGGTTCAAATTAATTATTTGTTGTTGGTAGCAATCAGTATTAATGGTTTCACCTGGTTTTTCATAATACACCACACTTTCCTGATCCCACCAAATGCAGAGCATTGTCTTCTTTCTAAAGCGATTTGGCCTTGTAGTCGATATTGATGGTTGCCTCCTATGTGTGCCCCAATTGGGGATCAAACTGGCAACATTTGGTTTATGGATCAACCAAATTGGGTCTCTGGATCAACTCATGATTTTGTGCATTTGGGGTTTTCAAAATAAATCCACTTTTCTTTTTTTTCTCTCTCTTTTTTAAAATATATTTTATTGATTTTGTAAAGAGAGGAAAGGAGAGAGATAGAGAGTTAGAAACATCAATGAGAGAATGTTATCGATTAGCTGCCTCTTGCACACCCCCTACTGGGGATATGTCCACAACCAAGGTACATGCCCTTGACCAGAATCGAACCTGGGACCCTTCAGTCCCCAAGCCGAAGCTCTATCCATTGAGCCAAACCGGTCTCGGCTAAATCCACTTTTCATCACCAGTCACAATTTGATGCAAAGAAGACTTTCTTTTGTGCCGTTGAAGCAACATTTTACTGATGACTTTTCAGTTTTCCATTTGTCTTTTGTTCAGTTAAGGTGTCACCCATTTTCCTTCCTTTAAAATCTTTCCCACTGCTTATAAATGTTCAGAAATTGTTTGCTGAGCAACATTTAATCTTTCTGCAAGTTGTTTTGACTTTGACACTCATCTTCATCCAACATGCTTATAATTATTGGTCTTCAAACTTTTTCAGTTGACCTGGACGTTCTTTGTCTTTCACATAGAAATCATCACTTTTAAAGTGTTTAAACCAGTGTTCGCAAGTATTTTGAGATGGAGCATGTTCACCATAAGCTTCCCGAAGTATACGATCATTTTTTCTTCA